GGAATGCAATTATTTTCTGAATTCTTTTCAATGCACTTGAAAAAAGCAAACCTCTTCTCCTTTTGGCTTAATTCCCCCTTTCAAGCCCTACCTGTGCTTTTCAAACATTGGCTCAAGAACGAGGAAGTCGAGGAAGGGTGTACGGCAGCACTGCGCTGCGAGCTGACAAAGCCCGGCGCTCCGGTGGAGTGGAGGAAGGGAGACGTGGTGCTCCGGCCCAGCAACAAGTATGAGCTGAGGCAAGAAGGGACTTTTGTGGAGTTGTTCATCTACGATGTGGGCCTTCAGGATGCCGGGGAGTATACGTGCGATTCGGGAGATCAACAGACCACCGCAGCACTGCAGGTGAAAGGTGAGACGGTTGCGATGCCGTCCTTCTGCACTGGAACAACACAACTTTTGTTGGTGAACAGTCACTACCATTTCTATGCCATTAAATGACATTTTAATGTAACTTTGATACAGAGGTTCCATCCACGGTTTGCTTATTAACGGCAGACATAGGGTGGTTGTTTTCAAACAACCCTATTTTTATTTTATTTTATTTTATTTTATTTTATTTTTGCATTTTGACCTTGCAGCTAGGTACAAGACAGATTGTCACAGATGCTGCTGGCTGTGGGCACAAACTACTCAACATTTGTGAACCTGAGATTTGCCAGTGGGTTTTGTATACTGGTATCTGGGAAAAAGTCTTCCCCTATATTTACAATGGCAGGAGAAGGTTAGCATTGTATATCAGATACTGCTATGTATGAAGTGTCAGCAAATGCTCAACTGCAAATGTGAGGCTGAGCCCCTGCTTACAGCGTGGCTTCTGTTCCTCTTTAGCAGCTTGTCTGCTAGGGGGGGGACAAGTCCGTTACTGGGGTTGTTTTTTGCTCAGGCAGTAGTAACCTATGCTTTGAGATTCAGATATCTTCAGTTCAGTTTCCACTGCTGATGAGCCACTTGATGTGTTACGTTATGCCTGAAACTTGGATCAAGAAAAGCCCAAATGCTATGATTTGCACTTGCAACATTATGCCATTAGTGGATGGCACATACAAAATATGCGCCATAGAGATGCCTTTTGAAAACGTCCTAATTCCCAGCAGATCTTGAAAGAACAGTAGAGATCTACTGTAGTTTTGTCGATAGCTAGTCCCTATGGGCTTCTGGTCCTAGCTCAACTTGAAGACGTGGAGAGGCTGCAGTATTTTCTGCTTGTATGTTGTGATTTCAGCAGACTGCAAGAGAGGGAACAGTGATCAATGAAATGGTTTGGTAACCTTCAGTAATCCACATGTGGGCATTATCCCTGCTGTAACTGCTTCTCTGTTGCAGTCCTACCCGTCCTGTTTAAAGAGGACCTGAATAACGTGGAGTCAGAAGAGCAGGGAACAGCTGTCCTCCAGTGTGAGGTCTCCAAGCCCGATGCTCCTGTTGAGTGGAGGAAAGGCGCAGTGGTGCTTCAGCCCAGTGACAAGTATGAGATGCGGCAGAAAGGCTCCCTGGTTGAGCTAATTATTCATAACTTGGAGGCGAAGGATTGTGGCGACTACACGTGTAGCACTGGATATGAGATAACCCGAGGTTCAGTGTCTGTTCATGGTAAGATGAAATAAATTTTTCTTCTCTGGTTGAATTTTACATTCCGGTGCCTCCTAAGCCAACAGGCCAGACTTAATTCTCATCTAAACAAGTGCCAGTCCCTTGATTTCTTTCCTGACTTCAGTGCAGTTGCACACACTTGCACCAAACCTGATTGCAGACAAATACTTATATTATAACAGAGCTCAAAAACAGTCTGCAATACAAGATGATCCCATTTACTTGATCATCTAGTCGCTTAGAGCTACTGCCGTGAAAACACTGAATGCACTGTTAATGTGTATTGCTAGTTATAATAGTCCTTGTTGTTCTTATCACTATTGTTGGTGTGTTGTAGCAGTGCACGTAGCCACCACACTTAAATCACAAGACAGAGTGCCTGCCACTAAGGGTATGTCTATACAGGGAAGGGGAGCGCCATGCTGGGAAATGCCATGATCACTTTGTCTACACACTAGCTCTTGAACCAGAACCAGTGTAGCCGTGTTGGTATGGCTCTGCATGAAGGCTAGTAAACTCTGGTTTTCATAAGCAATGATATCTTGAAGTGGTTATACCGCTTCTGGTTTGGGAGTTAGCACGGCTTGTCTCAGCACGGTACTGCCTGATGCCACCTAGACACGCTCTAAGACACCATATAGACACTGAAAGTTTACAGTCTCAGCGAAGATGATTGTAGCATGCCGGACACGTTGGGAATTGGTCAAAACACTGTTAAAGTGGAATAGTGTCTGTGCTTGTGAGTGGGTAAAGGATGTTCATGGGAAACAAACCTGGGAGTAGATTGTATACCCCTTTAAACAAATTAAGCACTAAGTGCTACAAGTTGGATTCTGTCGGGACCACTAGACGTGTCGGGACATCAGTCCCGTGGAAGCAGTATGTATATGTTTTTTGCTTTGTGTTTTTCCTTGGTACCACTTTTCTCGCTCTGTTATGCAGAAGAGGAAGTACAGATAGTTTGTGCTTTAAAGAACACGGATGTCTTTGTGGCGGAGGCAGCCACATTCACCTGTGAGCTGTCGCGCCCAGGCGTCCCGAATGTACAGTGGTGGCTTGATGGAGCTTTCCTTCAGAACAACTCTATGAATGAAATCTCAGTGCAGGATGGGAAAATCCACACTTTAACCCTAAAGGACCTGGGGTCCAATGATTCGGGGACTGTCACCTTCAGAGCTGGGTCCCTCGTATCTTCAGCTAAATTAGTAGTCAAAGGTACTTTTCTTTGGAAGATGCCAATGGCCAACTCCAGAACCGCTCAACATACTAGTGCTTATGCCTTCTGGTTACCCTTATGAAAGTCCTCCAAAATAGCATGCTGTTCTACCAGTAACATAGTATTTGCATCATTAGAAGGCCATGAAACCATGCTTAGTCCTGAAGCCTCTGCTCAAGCAAGTTGCTCTTGTTCATGCGAGCAGAAGCACCAGCTTCAACAAATCTACTACTTGGGATTGCTTGAGTAAGAGATTGCAGGATCCAGCTTGTTATCTTACAAGCGGCAGCAAAATTCAGTTGTGCAGAAAATCAAGGATGACAATCATGCCTTTCCATTGTGGCACCAGCGTTTTATTGTTCATTATTACTATAATATGACATTAACCGCTGCCCTGCCACTGCTCTACAAAAGATTGAGCCTGATTCACTAGTATGCTGCTTTGTTGCCAGGACGGTATAATTGCATTCAAATCAATGTATTCCTAGGCCCACGAGCCGGGGAATACTGAACTTAGAGTGGTGGCTCAATGGGTCTCCATGGAGTCAAGTTGCAATCATGTCAGGGTTATATAGCAGAGAGTAAGGATCAGTAGTTTATCATCCATGTACCATTAGTCGGCATTGTATTGGTAATGTTTTGTTGCTTTTTTTACTTATCGTGTAAGGGTAACCACAAATCGCACATAAAACTGAGCTTAAGACTTGCTGGTAAAGAAATCTAGTCACAGATACTTCTTGGCTGGTTTTCAGGAAAGCTGGGACAGTTCTGGAAGTAGGACAGAAATAATGTTCCCTATCTGTCTTGTATGCAACTCCTTTCCAATAATACCGGGAACTATCTAGAAGGTTAACTGCTCCTTCCATTAAAATTTACTCGGTGTTGGTTAGCTAAACCCTTTAACCCAAGAGTAGTCAGAGATGGATAACTGCAGTCTGGGACCACCATCAGCTTTTCTGTTGGCCTAATGTGTTCCTTGCTGTACCATCCATTTTGTGAGAGACTTGCCCTTTGGAGATAAGACAACAAATTCCTCATGTCTAACACCAAAGGACACTATTCTGAAGCCCAGAAATGGCATGTATATTTGCAATGCGATTTGAATAGTCTAAGGACAGAGACTGATTTTGCAGCCTTCCAGGAGTTGAACTCCTATGAATCTGCTGCAAAACATAAATGAATAGATATTATTAATTGTTTTGTACACCTCATTTTGTAGCTTAGAAAAGGACACCAGGAAGCTTGTAATAGTGGGAGGTTTTGTGCACCCAGCGACGCCAGTGGGATTTTTGCTACAGACTTGAATGGGAGGAGTAGATGGCATATAAATAGAACAGGGAAGGCATTTAAAAGAGACCACCCAGTTGTTAAACCATGCTCAGTAATGCTCCATGTGCTAGGAAGGTAAAGCACTAGTAATATTCTAACCATGCTTGTATTAACAAACACTTTTCTACACTTTATCTGGGCAAAGATGTAGAATGATTGAACTATCCCTCTCCCTCTGCGTGCCCCATTTGCATTCATTCCCAGGTTATCATGGGTCTTTCTCCTTCCCTCATTCCCATTATTCGAGTGTAACACCTGTTTATAAAGGGACAAGTTCCATGATAATTCAAATTTCAGGACATGTCGACTTCTTTGGCCCTTACTATATCCATTATAACAGCAGTCAAACATGGCCAGGCCTTCATGGGTGTGCCAAGGGCTACAAAAGGATGAGGGCTGCAGGAGCTGTGCCTCTCAGCAGAAAGGTTGTGGGGAGGCTGATGATTTTGACAGATTTACACAGTACATTATCTTTGAGCGCTCAAATGGATGATAATCCAAAGTACTTAGAGAAGCTCCCCAGCCCAAACCCTAGCTTCTTTTTTGTGAAGCTTACAAAATCTTGGGTTTGGTTATGCTTATGGTATTACCCCTAGCAGCTATTTCAACAGCAGCGTCTTACAAGGCAGTAAAGACTTTGAACCTTCAACAGCAGCTGCGCAGATCTCCGCTTTCTCAAGGGAAGCTAGGTCTTGGGTTCTGGTCCCGATGCATTCTGCATTGAATAGTCTTTGGATAAAAGGCATAAACAGCTTTGGGAGCAGGAGCATGCCACATGCTTCCCAGAGGGGCAGGAATTCACATGTCCTGTTTCTTGAAGGCATATCTCTCCTCTGTGCTAATGTGCAAATGGCTTCCCATTGGCAGAGCGGGAGAGTTATGCCCACTGCGTGGCTCAGAGTGGGATCAGCCTTTGGGCTGAGAAAGCTTTGCGCCTCCCTGGGTGGAAGGTGATTACTTCCTGTGCGGGCAAAGGACCACTACGTCATAGAGGTCTAGGTGTGCCACGGAGCTTTCCTTTGGCGATGCTGTATATTTGGTAATATAAAGTGCAAGCACAATTTTATCAGAGGTTTTTAACAGCTGGAGGCTCATCATTTAAAAATTTCTAGCCATATTTAATCATTTGGAAGTACACCACAGCGGGTTCCACCTTTCAGCAGAGACTTACCTCCCGTTCCAGTTGAATTAGTCAGGCAGCTCGAGCCCCTGCAGTCTTGCTGAATATATTCATCTTGGTGTCTCCATTTTGTTGAAACCACTTAAGCATCTCCTTAAATCCATCCATTGCACCCTGCAAACATTTGGAGAAGCACTGACATGCTCAAGGGTGGCTGCTTTTGTGTGTGTCATTGCTTGGTGGTGGGGAGGGGGGGATCATGGAGATTGAGTGAATCGTAAGAGATGCTCTCCACAAAAAAGTAGCATCAGGCGAGATCTTTGGTATTTGTGCTCAGATTTGTGATGTGAACACTCCTCATACACCACGCTTGCTTCCGTGCTGCTTGATGCTGACACAAGTCAACACTAAACGTGCTAACTAGCAACGCCTCCGGTCAGCCTCGAGCTTGGGATGTTGTGCCGTTTGCTTCCTGTGCTACATAGGCGCTGTGCTTGTCAAAATCTAAGCTGCCATTTCCATAAGGATCTACTAATGCATGTCCCTCCTGACCTATTGGTTGACAGATCCAACCATTGAGGTGGTCAGTCCAATGCAGGACATTACCGTTGATGAAGATGGCACGGCAGAGTTCATATGCCAGTACTCTAGGCCAGTGCAGGCCACGTGGAAGAAAAATGATCAGGAAGTTCATGCAGATGGGCAACGAGTCATTGTGGAGCAGGACTGGAATGTAGCCAAGCTAAAAATTAAACCTGCGCTTCCAGAAGACACTGGCATCTATTCTTGTGAAGCTGAAGGCACTAGAGTGGTGGCTATGCTTGATGTTCAAGGTGAGGTCTTCCAGCCCAAAAGGAAGACTGTCAGTGTGACCGAATAGAAACCAAAAGAAGACCACAGCAGCAATGGATATACAGTGGCAAATCATGACCTACTCATTGGGTGTTCATTCCACTACCAATAGCAGTGACAAACATATTGGGGAGTTAGTGCAAATTGAATGTGGAACTGTGCAAATTTCCATTGGAATTTAATTCCAATTAATGCCCATTTATAAATCCAAGTGGGCATAGGTGGTCACCCTTGCTCTGCAATGAACTGAATTTGGTTGTAGCACTAATCAAAGGGATATGTCCTGCTGAGTTATTGTCATGTTATAGAGGTGATGTTGTTGGACTTAAAAAAGCAATACTACTACTGAGCCCTCATGTAATGCTTTTTTGCATACAAAGTGCTTTAAAAACATTAATGGATAAAGAGGCATTTGTTTTTATTTTCAGTTGATCTAATCTACAGCTAACCTAGCTCGAGTATTATCGCTAATGAAAATGTTGATTGCTTGAAAAGCATTTTTAATTGGCAATTAACTTTTGCAAATGTCCTTGGGAAAGAGACAACGGAAAAATGGAAGAATTTTTTTCTGTAATAGTGCGCGATTCT